GGGAGGGGGAGAGAGGGAACAAGGTGCAGCAGCCAAGAAGGTACAAAAAGGGAAACGGGAAGCTCCCCAAAAGTCTAGATTGTACAGAGAAGTCTCTGGGGAAGGAAGCCCAGCCCCTGGGCTGGAGCGTTCAGGGGAGAGGGCTGGGTATGCTGTCATCCATACCCTGGAACAGGCAGGAAGTGAGGCATGCTGGGAGAACCTGGGGGCCAGGTCTGCTCTGATATGCTAAATAGGCAACTCAGCAGTTTGTCCCAGGGTTTGAGATTTAGAACATTAAGATGCCTAAGTTCTTTAACTAAAGCACAGTTCTATACTGTTCTGGGGGAAACCAGCTCCTTCTTAAGGAAACAATTCTTTGGGACTTTTTCTTTTTCTTTTTTTTTTTTTTTCAGAGCTGAGGACCGAACCCAGGGCCTTGCACTTGCTAGGCAAGTGCTCTACCACTGAGCTAAATCCCCAACCCGGGACTTTTTCTTTTCTTTCTTTCATTCATTCTTTCTTTCTTTTCTTTTCTTTTTTTTTTAGAGATTTTAAAAACCTGTAATCAGTTTATATTATTATTGTTAGCTTTTTTTTTTTCTTTCTCACCTTTTTAAAGACAGGGTTTCTATTCTGGCTGTCCTGGAACTCGGAATCAGAGGCAGCTGGATCTCTTGAGTTTGAGGGTAGCCTTGTCTACAGATCGAGTTTTGAGATTAAGGTCGCAGCCCAGGATTCCCTTTTACTTGAATGAAGTGGTAGAGGTTGACTTTGAACTCCTGATTCTCTTGCCTTCATCTTCTTGTGTTATATTTCCCTGAGACTGGGTCTTTTTCTTGAACCTAGAGCTTGTAGTTCTTTGGCTACACTGGTTGGCCAGCAAACCTATCTTGTCATTGGTTCCTACCTCCAATGCTAGGGTTACAGGTACACCCAGCTATTCCTGTTTTTTTTTTTTTTTTATGTGGAGTGAGCATGGGAATCCCAATTTAGGTCCTTAAATGTGCACAGCAAGTGCTCTTACCTACAGAGCCATTTTCCCACGTCCCAGATTTTTTTTCTTTCCTTCCCTCCTTCCTTCCTTTTTTAAAAATTTATTTATTTTTTAAGCTGTCCAGGAACTCACTATGTAGACCTGGCTGACTTTGAACTCATAGAAATCCGCCTGCCTCTCCCTGATGAGTTTTGGAAAAGAATGGCATTCATTACCACTGCAGGCTCTAAGAACCCTTTTTCTTTCCAGCTATCTCTGCTAATATTTTATGGAATGTTTCTTAGACCATAGTTTGGAGAATACAGGGTGCTGATGGTTTGAGCCTGCTTCATGGATCAGTTATATGACCTTACAAAAATCATATCTAGCCAGGGGTGGGGAAGTGGGGGTTGGGGTGGCCATGCCTTTGATCTCAGCACTCAGGAGGCAGAGGCAGAGGCAGGTGGATCTCTGTGAGTTCAAGACCAGCTTGGTACATAGAGTGAGTTCCAGGTCAGTCAAGGGAACTTCTAGCTTGTGTAGGAAAGAGAGAGGCGAGATAGGGAGAGGTGGAGAGAAAAAGAGAAAGAAAGCCCGCTGCCACTGACTCTGGAAAGTTTTTTTTTTTTTTTCTCGAGACAAGGTTTCACTGTGTAGCTTTGTGCTTTTTCTGGAACTCACTCTGTAGCCCAGGTGGGCTTTGAACTCACAGAGACCCGATTGGCTCTGCCTCCCCAGTGCTGGGATTAAAGGCGTGCGCCACCACCTTTTTTTTTTTTTTTAAATTTAGGACAGGATCTCACTATTCCAGGCTGGCCTTTAACACTCCAGATTGTTCTCTAGCCTCTCCCTCTGGAGAACTAGGATTACAGGTTTGCATTATGAGGCCCAGCTGGGTACTAATTTAGAAAGGACTCTGCATTCTCACAGGTGAGGACAGTGTTAGCATGTAGTCTTAAGGGTTCCAGAATTTAGAGAATCTACCCAGGCTCCTAAGAATAGTGCTCAGAGGAGTAATAACCACCCCAAGAAAAAGCAAATTAGAAGGCCTAAAAATGAAAAAGATGAAGCAAAGATGATACTTGGCCTGGTCTCAATCTTGGTAAAGGATGTCATCATGAGACAGTTACTTCCACAGCAGGGAAGACTTTCAACCACAAAGGACGATCCAATTTCCTTTTCATGGGAAACAACACTAGTATTATTTAAGCCTTATGGAAATGAGCAAATTCCTCCTCTACAACCCCCTCAGGCCTCAACTATCAGAATGGTTTTTCACACTCTGTGACTTGAAGTTGGTAGTCTGGCAGCAGAGTTCATGGGCCCAGGACAAGAAGCCCAGCAAGCAGAGAGAACCCACAAGAAACTCACTTTGTTCTTTAATAATTGCCTGGGGACCGACAGATAGGACATTAAATTTACACAAAGCTGTTTAAAATCGTAACTACACAGAGAAGGACGCAGAGAAGCAGACACACCACTAGTACACAGGTCATAATGGTCAGAATGGCTTTTGAAAACACCTTCTGGCAAGATGACCATTAAAGTCACTTGGGTGGTCAAAACTGAACTGTAAAATCGAATGTACTGGATCATTCCCACCAAATGGAAACAGTGAACAAGTGTGCAATATTTAGGACACACAGGTAATTAATTTTTTTGATTGTAAAATGAACATAAATTTTAGGAAAATGTTATTTTAAAAAAGGACAAAATAATGAGGCTTTAAAAAAATTTTTTTTTTTTTTAAAGGAGTCTTATGTCAACTCATGAAAGATTCCATCAACTTGCTTGCTTCTAAAGTAGGTTTTTGTTATTTTATAATTCTCCCCACAAGGTTTGGTCGGAGTTAACTTGTAGATGAGGAAATTGAGCTCAGGGAAGCCATTGCTTACCTGTCTGAAGTGGTCCTTGTGCCATTTGAATCCACAACTGTCAACTAGTTTCTTAGTTTATTATTATTATTATTTTTGGTATTTCGAGACAGGGGTTTCTCTGTGTAGTTTTGGTGCCTGTCCTGGAACTCGCTCTGTAGCCCAGGCCGGCCTCGAACTCACAGAGATCCGCCTGGCTCTGCCTCCCGAGGGCTGGGATTAAAGGCAGGCGCCAGCACCGCACGGCTTCTGAGAACTTTCCAGACACGGCGATAAGCTGCCCTGTTGTCAATAAATAGGAAGGGCTGTGCGACCCGAGTGTTAAAGCTTCGGAAGCAAGCCTCCAGCCAGGGGCGAGAGGCGGGCTGGAAGGTGTGTGCAGGTGATCGGGGGCGGCCCAGCCCTTCCGTCCGACGCAGGCTAGCCTGCAGACCTGAGCCGCAGGACCTCCACGACCCCCAGGAGACCCAGGAAATGAACGCAGGCGCCGGGAGACTTGATAAAGTTACTGCGAGTGCGAATGCCCCAGAGAGCGACAGCAGGGCCTGCGATCCATTGATCTGAGCGACTGCCGAGCCTGGGCCGGGGCCGGGGCCGGGGCCGGGGCAGGTGAGGCTGCGGGGCACAGACCGTTGGGATTTCGGGCGCTCGGGGTTCGAGCCGCTTGCTCACGGCCTGCGCCGGTGTGGGTCGGGCTCCGGAGTCCGCTGGGGTTGGTTTTTTTCTGGCTTTTTTTTTGACCTCAGCGTCTCGGTCTCACTCGCGGACAGCCCTGGTCCCGAGGGGAAAGACCCCATCACCACCGTCTTCCCGGACAGCCGCGGCCGCACCCCCGAGCCCCCCGGGCCCCGGCCTAGGGTCGCGCCGGGCGGAGGCTCG